GCATTGAGGGTCAGACCATCAGCAAAGCAGGACTTACACCACAGCTGATTGGGGTCTGAACATTCTCTGTCCCTCTGCTTTTTAAAATGGAGTATGCACTTGCTCTAACAGATGATAGAACAAATAACAAAGAATATGATAAATCAATACTTACTGACAAAGAAGAAGTAAAGACCCAGAAATATTGCTAAGCAGTGGTATAAATAATGCATTTTAAAAGGGTGAGATCAGTCATAATCTGGCCCGTGCTTTTCTACTTTCTCATCCCCTAACATTTCTTGTTGATGCTACCAGTAATCTCTTCATTTTAAACCCATTAAATACACTGCGATTAGAGTTTATTTGGTTCCTCCAGTCATTCATTCCTGCTTTCTCTTTAATAACAAAGCCTACCATATTTCAAGAGTTTTGGCTTGTTTGTTTGTTTGTTTTGGCCTGATGTTTTGATACCACAATGATCTTGGGGCAGGGAACTGGGGAAAGTCTGACAATTGGCTCTGAGAGGCCATTTAACATTGTTCGGAGATACTTTAACTGGCGCAACTGGAAAGAGGATGTTCTTGGCATTTGGTGGCCTGAAAGGGTGCGAAGCACCTTACAATGAATGCAAAGGCCACCCTCCTCCCACAGAAAAAGAGTTATCCAGCACAAATTGTCAATCATACTGAGACTTTAAATATATAATTTATTTTAACCTTAACAATAACCCAACAGAGAAAGTAGTATTATCCCCGTTTTGCTGATGAGAAACGACGTTTTCATTATGAATTACTTAGAAAGCGATTATTAAATTAATGAATTCCCCAGGCTCTTTGCTTCTCCCTACCAGAGACCAGTTACTATTTGTTAGCATGTCTTCCAGAGTGAGAGGGAGAGCAGAAAGCCCAGCTCTGTGTTATATAAGAACTCAGGGAGGGAGAAAAGATCCAGGGAGGGAGGCAGTTGAAACAATTTGCTGAGATGCGGGGAGTCATCTAGCATCTCCTGTCTGCTTTCATCTCCCCCACCTACAACTCAGCACGAACTGCCTGGGCAACCAGCACATCCTCCACCTGCTGCTGTAAAGAACCGAATACCAGTGGCAGTACAATCTGCTTCATAAACCCAGAACCTATGCAACTGTGATTCCAGTAGTAGGCCCAAAACAGATTTTTAGAGTTGAGGGTTTCCCTTCTTCATATAATTAGCCATTGACACTCCTCTGAACTATTTTTAAGTAGCTGTCAAACCCGTTGGCAGGGTAGAGAATCTGGCACAATGGTAAACATCCTCATATTCTGTCCTGTCCTCTTACTTGATAGGGGAAATCACGAAAAGCCATTACTAGTCAAATGCAACTCTTGGGAAAGTGTTATTCCTGGCCCTGTTTTCCCAAGTGGCCCAGATGCAGAAGGGATGGTACTCTGGGCTTGAGTCCACCTCAAAGGTGAACTATCCTTGAACAATCAGAAAGCATTGTCTTTTTCCAAAAGCTCTTGGCAGCAGCAGTGTTATCTCCAGGGTAGCAGCTGCCCTTCTCTGAATAATGAGAAAATTATAATTATTATCAGAAATTATCATTATGTTTTTAAATATATTGGAGTGCAAAACAGTGTGCCAAGATGAAGAGCCGTCTTTTTAAACAAGTCTCTGCATTTATTCCAAGTCCGTCACCCCTTCCAATCATTAGTTCTAAACACTCTCACGTTCCAGTTTGAAGTATTTAAAAACGTGACATGTAGTGAAAGCCATGATTAGACCAATCTCTTAATCCACTGAAAGCTGCAGAAACCAAGATTGAAAATTAATCCAGGTCACTAAGTCAGCCACTTCTGTTTATCAGGGTCAGAATGGAGCAAATATTCCCAGAGATACAGACACATTCCATGTCTAAATATTTTATGGTTATAGTTAAAGATCTAAATACATGGTTTTGACTCACCTACGTTGGCAAATATCTTTTAATAACAACCTTAATGAACAGATCTGAATTTGAAATTCTTGAGTTCCTAGGAGTTCCAAAATGAATGTGGGTGCATAGAAGAAGCAGAGTCATCACCTCTATACTGTGCCCTCCTCCACCCATCTGACGGCCTTGACCCCTTCTATCTCGACCTCCATTTATAACTGCACAATGGAGGCCATCACACACGTGTGCCTAGGCACTTCAGGCTGACCACCCAAGTTTCAACAAAGGGCTACTATTTAGGCACAGGGATATATACAACCATCGCACGAACTAGAGGTGCACAGATGCATGGCACAGAGAGGGTCATGCTGCCCTGAAAACAGGTTCTCAGTATTTTGGACAGAGATTTCCATGGTCTTGGTACTCAATGTATCATCCAGAACAGAGATGTGGACTCTTGGTGAACTTCCATCACCTCTGTAGACACTGCATTCTGTTGGGAAAGTGAGAGAGTGGGACCCACAGAGTGTGGGGAAGGAGTCACTCTTGCCTCAGTAAAAGGACTGCACTGCAGATTACAAACCACGTGTCTTCCCCCAGCATATGACACTGATGAACTGCTACTGTTGGCACACAGGCATGTCTACACTTTTAAGACATAGTGTGTTTTGTGCTCCATGGACACATACAGACCTGGATCTGAGACCACAGGTTTTGTCACAAGGGCAGCTGATGGGCACTGATACTTTCCTCAAAATCCTCACAGTTCAAAGTTTGGCTCTTCCCCGTGGGATGGTGACAATTGTTAACTTTCATGTGAATTCCCTCCAAAAAAAGGGATTCTCTGTCACTTGGAGGAATTATAGAGTCCACACTTGGACATGTTATCATAAGAAGCCAGTCCCTGGAAAAGACATCAGGCTGAGAAAGGTGAAGGGTCAGAGAAAGAGAGGAAGGCGTTCAATAAGATGGATTAACAATATGACAATGGGCTCCAGCATATCAGACACTGTGGGGATGGTGCAGGATAGAGTGGGGTTCAGATCTGTCGTTCACTGGGCAGCTGTAAGTCATAGTTGACTCCATGACACACAACAAAACTACAAAACATTCTAGTTCTACCACTAGGTTATGTTTCTTAAGACATGTGACTTATCTTTCTGTGTCTCAGTCTCTGGTTTTATAAATATAAGCTCTGATGGCCTAGTGATAAGGAGCTGCACTGCCAACCGGAAGGCCTATGATTCAAACCCTCCAGCTACTCTGAGAGGATCTTGGGGGGAAATGAGAAAATGGGCAGTCTCTTCCTTTGTAGCTTACTGCCTCTGAAAACCTACTGGAGGGTCAGCTCTGGGATCTGACTCAATGATATGTAACAACTACATATACACACGGATATATGCATGCATTAGATTAGGTCAAATGTTGAAAATTGGTGGTATATGAGTCACTCATCCAGGCATTTGTGTGGGGAGAGATAACATAAGGCAAAAACATTTTAAAATTGGTAGTGAATATTTAAAAATCATAGACATAAAAAACTGACTATACTGCCTCTAGCCCTACTGCTCTTGAGATTTTCCTCCCACAACTCAGTCTTCCAAGCCTGATATTGTCTTATTTTGTTGTCTGCAGTAAAATATAAGAGTGAAAGGGAGATTGAAGAAAATGAAAGTGACAGAGGCAGGCAGGAGGAAATGCAGTGGGGTCAATAGTGAATAAGCAGGCAGAAACAGAAAGGAAGGAGGTAACTAAAATAGACCAATAAAAGAGCTCTGGCGGCCTAGTGACAAGAAACTGTGCTACAGTCCTGAAGGCATGTGGTTCGAGGCCACCAGCTGCTCCATGGATAAAGGATGGGTGGTCTCCTCCCATGTGATTATCTGCCTCTAAAAACTCACCAGAGGGTCAGCTATGGGTCAGTTCCGACTCTATGGTACACAACAACAACACTAAAGTAGCATTCTTGAAGATCAGGTGGTGTAGTCTGTAAGGAATAGTACTTCTGACCCAACTTCACCAGCGCAGTAATCTCATCTCATGGGATTTACAGCTTTGGAAAGCCCTTGAAGGGTCAGCGATGAGAGAAATCCCATGTGAGGTGCCATGCATTGACTTTTCAGTTTCTTACACATAGTTCAATTTAATCCTCATAAAAATTCTAAGAGTTTTCTGAAATTTACAAAACAGGACATTGAAACTTTAAAGAGGTTATACATATTGGAGGTCTCAAAGTCCAGAATATATTTAATTAATAGAATAGAAATAACAGAGCTGAGATTGTACTTTTGCAGTGGTTTCCCATCTTACTCAAAGTGGAAAGTATGGCTCCTTCAACAACCCTGTGTAAACTCCTTGGACTGCTTTTCCCTAGGTATCTATACAATCTGTTTCTCTGTCTTCTTTAGGTCTTTAATCAACTGCCATCTTCTTGATAAAGTCGTCCCTGATTACCTATATAAAAAAATGTACTAAAACACCTGCATTGACACATGAGCAGACAGGTACGCATGTGCACGCCCACACACACAACACATACACACATTCCACATCCACTCCTATCCTCTTCCCCTATTTGTCTATCTTTATAAAAATACCACTGTGGGACAGACTATATGGTTTTTTTCTGCTGTTTAGCATCTGCCTTCTAGAACAGAGATGTCATGAGAACGAAGATTATATCCATTTTGTTCATTATTCTATTGCTTAAAACAGTGTTTAGAACTAGTAAATAGAAGAGTGCTTTTTGTCACTGTTTGTTGTTACTTGCAATTGATCCAGAACCAACTCATATCCTGACCCTCCGATGGGTTTTCAGAGGCAGTAACTTCACGGGAATTGATTGCTTGTGTTTTTCTCCCATGGAGTAGTTGGTGGGTTCACACTGTGTGCCTTTGGGTTGGCAGTGCAGCCTCTTACCACTAGACCACCAGAGCTCCGAGAATAGTGCTTTGCACCTAGAGCATACAAAGTGGTCAATAAATATGTGCTGAAGCAGGAAATCAAGAAAGTTCCTAAGCATGGTACACATACCACACAGTCTAATTTTACCCACACTGTTTTCTGTCTCCTTCAGGTAACCGCCGAGGATCCACATTCCTTCCTCAGGGCCATGGCTCCTCTAAGTCAGTTGAGTGGCCACCTCAACGCAACTTGCTGGGCAGAGAACGCCACAGGCACCAGCCAACCCCGCCCGCATGCCTACTACGCCCTGTCCTACTGTGCGCTTATCCTGGCCATTGTCTTCGGCAACGGACTGGTGTGTGTGGCGGTGCTGAAAGAGAAGGCCCTGCAGACCACCACCAACTATCTGGTGGTGAGCCTGGCTGTGGCAGACCTTCTAGTGGCCACCTTAGTGATGCCTTGGGTGGTGTACCTAGAGGTGAGTGAGCCCCAGAGGTGCCCTGCCCATATGAGCTTATGTTTTGGTCTTCCTTGAGCTTCTGGCCTTCCAAGATTGAAATGCTTCCTATAGTAGGCCCCAGGAACTCAGGAAGAAGAGCTCTTGTAATTCTACCTTTGATGGATGGACTGAAGCTCTGAGTACAATCATCATCCAGTTTCATACACACAGTTAGAACCAGGGAGCTAGAATGGCCCTGTTCCCAGGCCTACAGTTTTCAGATGCCTGGATTTGGGATTATGGGACTCCTCTTCAAAATGGTCCACATTCACTTCTTAAGATAGTCACATCTCAGGGTTGAGAGATGTGGGAGAGAAAATGAATCAGTGATTGTTCTCATCAGTGTTTCAATATATGTGGAAGTGAGGAGGGATATAAGTGGAGCAGGCCATAGAGGAATTCTAGAAAGACAGGGGTAAAGTTCTTCACATGGATGAGAGGAAAACAAAGAAAGAATTATCTGTGAACAGATCAGGCTTCTTTTGAATTGGTTATCAATTTGGCTCTTTTCTCCTGAGCACCATCTCTCCACAGACCCTACAAAGGAACAGACTGAACCTTCACAGTTATGTTTGATGTCTACATTAACAGGAAGAGCCAGGCCTCGAAGAAGCCTGTAATGTTTGGTAAAGCAGAGAGTCAGTGAAAAAGAGAAAATGCCCCTAGAGAGAAGGATTGGCACAGTGGGTACAATAATGGCTCAAATATAGCAATGGTTGTGAGGATCCCACAGGACCAGGTAGTTGCACATAGGGTTGTTAAGAGTCAGAAATGACTCCATGGCACCAAGCAACATTAAGCAGTAAAGGGTGCACTTGACACTCAGCTCATACAGCAGATACTGCAGAATACTTCTGGGGGAAAACATTTCTTTAACATGGAAGTATTCTTGTTTGTTAGTGCAAAGCAGCGTCAGGAGGTTATCAAGACAAAGCATCTCTTATTAACAAGGAAATCAGGGTGCCTGCACTCTTCAAGGAGCAGACATACTCCACAGGAAAACATGCAAGTATTAAAGAGGAGGATTTTTCCCCAACCACCTTTAGATACTATTAATATTTCTCCTCTGTAGCATATGTCACTCTAAAAAGAAGTCCAGTAAAAGATCAAAATGATGCTATGATTAAGAGAAATTAAGATTCATCAAATTATTATCTCAGTTAATATTAATAGTGAAGGTGACAGTTAATTAAGTATGACATATCACAGGAGAGCAAAATCCTTGATCATCGGGTGCCTGTGCTCATGCCCATATTAAAGAATGTCTGGGAGCTAAAATTAGACTTATGATCTCAACTGGAGACATAAAGGAATGAAATAAAGAAAATAGAGGGTGAGAGAGAAAAGAGAAAAATAACCAGGCTGATTAAGGTAGATTTAAAGGCTAGAAAAAAACAAGATACTTCCTCCTCCCCTTTAAAAGAACTCTGATAGTAAAAAATATTGTGATTATCTTTTCTATCAACCCAATTAGACTGAAACACTCTTGACATTAAAGGATATTTCCCCCTCCAGTTTGTATAGTTCAAACACTTTGCACTCAACGAGAACACTCAAATATTTGATACGAAAATTATTAACCTATCTCATAGTATATGCAGTAAATGGGCACTTCCTTCTTGTGTCATCTATATCTGTTGTTAGTCAGGTGTTGTGTGTGTAGGATTTTTTTTTACATTCAGTAATAATAAGACTAAAAAGGAGTTATGAACATGTGAAGTTTTTGACATTTTTTTGAAGAGTGAGGCAGATTTTAGGTTCACAAACTAGTATGGATTGGTCAACTTTTCACAGCACCACCCCTAGTGTTTCTGACCACGACTATAGTTACAAGGATTCTTGAGTCTTCTAGAAAGAAGGATATTGGGGAGGAGATAAGCAGCGATGGAGGGGGATCACAAGCAGAGAGGACCTTCATTCTATCTAATAAGCAGGTTCATTGCCTCTGAAATAAAAACTGGCCTTTAGTATCTGAAACAAAGCCATTTGGTGATACTCTTTATCCATTTGTGATGCCTGCTTGAACTCTGGTTAAACCATATTGGAAAATCTCTGTCTATATTGGTTTAGGATATGGATGCTTTGACTAATTGACAATAACAACCCATTACTTTCAGTAAGACACGGCAATCTAGGTAGTACCTTCATCCTACTGCTGAGCTCAGAAAAGCAGCCTGGGCCCAAGAGCTGTCATGCATCAGAGGAGGGCTCCATAAATTGTCCCCGACAAGAAAAACTCTGGCAGAACCCATCATTCCCCTTGTTGAAAAAAAAATGGTAGGTGTAGGTGTTTGGAAATCATGCGTGTGGTCAAATGAACTATATAATCATGTGTATAAAAAAAGATTTTGGAGAATAGAGACATCTCTCCACTAAAGAATGGAGTCAGGGGTCTTTTTTAATTTGGTCTTCCACACAGGCTGCAGGTTCCTTCCACCACTTCTCTCCAACCACCAATGAAGAATCTGCCTCAAGAAGAGGTCTTTGACTTAAAGTTATTACCATTAACAGGCAACCAGTTAAGATAGTAAAGGATCTAGGTTAGAAAACCAAATCTCCCCCACATGATCCCAGACCATTTTTTATTAGTCTTAATTACTTATCTTTCCATGAGTCTCAGAGACAGAGAAAATGTATCTTCATGAAAGAAAAAGACTATTTTGGACCCTTAAGGGGACCATGGTTACATAAATCATTATGTCTTAGAGAGCAAAAGTGTTTTTCTTACTAACTTGTCCTAATGATGGCAGTTGATCTAGTAACTATATGATTAAGCCTAAGAGATTCCTTGGAAAGAAGAAAGAATGCAATATTAATTATACAAGTTTCTCTATGTTTGAGAACTCCCAGGAGGCTAGGACACACATCTGGGAGAACACCATTTGGGAGTCATTAGGGCTACTAAATTCAAAGCCTAAAACTTTTTTTTGTATTTTATTTTTTATTGATATTTTAACTAAAGTTTACAGAAAACTTGGATTTCCATTCACAGCCTAAAACATTTTTATTTCAATATTTTAACTTTTTTCCCCCTTTCTTTTTGGTTTCTGTATTTTCTGTTTCTATTCCTCTTACAAGAAGCCCTTTCTGACTTTTGACCTTGGTCCTTGTACTTTGATCTTGAGTAGCTGATTGTTCCAAGGACTATCTATCTAGTAGTGTTCACGCTCCGTGTATAAGGTAGTCTATGTGTTAGCCAAAAAAAATGGAGACAGAGGTGGCAGTTCAGTACCAGACTTGAAGATTATCTAACAGGGGTTGATTTGAATACATTTATCTTGTTCAAAAGTTATGTTGCCTTACTGTTTTGTAATTTGTCAGGCACAAGTATTTATGAGTTAGAAATGTTTTGCTGATAAATGGAAAATTTAACTGGTGTTATATAAACAAAGAGGGTCGTTTTTCCCACATAATCAGAATTCTGAAGGAAACTAGTTGTTGATGTTTGCTTAGCTGCTCCACGATGTCATTAAGGACCAAGGCTCTTCCATTCATCTTCTTTATCCTCCTTGGCTAGTTGACTTGACTTCCTCATGCTACTGCCAAGATGGCAGCCATGACAGCATTCTAAAGCAAGGTGGGGGGAGACAGGAGGAAACAACACGGGTGCCTTTTCCTATTGTGGCTCTTAGCTTTTATCAGCAAAGGAAAAACTTTTCCAGAAATATCTTCCTAAGGGACTTCAATGAAATCTAATTGATCTGACTCCTACCTGGAAAAGAAAAAAGTAGAAATGTAGATTTTTTTTTTATTATTAACAAGAAATATGGGAGCTGGGGAGAGGGAGAATTGCTGTGAAGTAGACAATAAAGTGTCAGCTAATAACCAGAGAGCTGATTAAGGATGACAGAAGAAGAATTGATGTCTTTGAGTTGTGGTGCTGGAGAGGAGTCTTGAATATACCGTGGACTGCCAAAAAACCAAATAGGTCTGTCCTGGAGAGGGTGAAACCAAGTTTCTCCTTGAAGGCTAGGATTGTGAAGCTTATCTCACATACTTTGGGCCTGTGGTCAGGAGAGACCTGTCCTTGGAGAATGAGATCATGCTCAGAAGGGTGGAGAGACAGCACAAGAGAGGAAGACCCCAGATAGGATAGAGTGATACAGTAACTAAGGCAATGGAGGTAGGTGTGTTGAGGTCAGTGGGACTGGCTCAGGACAAGGCAGGCTTCAGAGCAGGCGACTCGACAGCACATAAGAACAATACTGCTCTTGTTGGAATTCATTTTGATGGATGTAATTCCAACACACAGTGGTGCACTAAAGACTCTGAGTTGTGAATCAGTACACCTAGAATTCAGCAAATAAAATGAAGGTGACAGCATCATCTTCTCTAGATGCCATGGTTTATGTGACACTCAAATGTTGCCAACTTTCTGAAAGACAAAACCTCAGAGACAAATAGAGGACCTTGATGAGAAAGCAAAGCAAAACTGAGCCCTTAGGAGTTCTACGCAAATGTCGAACTACATAAATGTAGTGACTACGTAAATGGTTGTGTATCAAAGAACAGCGAAAGTGTTATTCTTACTGTTGTTGTTGTTGTTATGTGCCATCGAGTCGCCTGCGACTCATAGCGACCCTATGCACAACAGCCCTAAACTCCGCTCTGTCCTGTGCCAATCGCACTGTCTCCGACACTCTCATCCCAATTATCCCAGTCACTGAATCAATCCACCTCATAGAGGGCCTTCCTCTCCTGCGCTGTCCCTCCACCCTCCCAAGAATGATGTTCCTCTCTAAGGACCGGTCTCTCCTTAAACATGTCCAAACTATGTTAGACGGAGCCTCAGAATCCTTGCCTCCAAGGAGCCACCCGGTTTAACCCTTTCCAGGACAAATCTGTTTGTTTTCCTAGCAGTCCACGGTACTCTGAATACTCTTCTCCAGCACCACAGCTGAAAGGCATCAATTCTCCTTCTATCCTCCTTGGTCATTGTCCAACTCTCTGATGCATAACAAGTGATTGCAAAAACCATG